TCATTTCCCCTCGCCAACGCAAACCAACTGAAGTGGGATCCAACCATTTCAGGTCGTTTAGTCAGTCGAATGCGCCCCACCCTAACGTATTTGCTACCTCCGTCACTCGGCTTGTTACTAATCGAACCATGAAACTATCATGCAGCTAGCTAGTGGTCCATTGTGGTTAAACTTGCCTCACACTATTTGTGATACATCCTTGTTTTTTGGGGCCTCTCCATCAAATTGGCTCTATGGTAAGCCTCCCTCAAGTGTTCAAAATTAAGCACAAGTTCGACCCCATTTATTGCCATTTTCTGACTCCAATGATTTCACGTGTTGCTTTCGCAAGTCGCGCTACGGAAACACAGGTTAGTTTGTTTTGCCACAAACGTTGTTTACAAACTTTTTTGGTCCCTGTGGGATTCAACGATGGCAGTTGTAATTGTTGTGATTTGACAACCAAAGAGTACCTCTTTTATGTCTGTTTATCATGAGGAACTTGATAATGTTGCAGGTTTTTATTCCTGTTTTATCACTACGTATGCCATCCTTTGCATGCACTTGTGTGCCCATCTGTTTATTGTTTAGTTTCACGCCGTGGCAGAAGCACTGACTGCAGTGTCACAATTCACAGATTTCTGTTCGACGTATGGCCCATTTCATCAGGTTTGCCCCCGGGATGGCTTATTATTGGTGACTACGTGCTTTTTGTGTTGAGCTTGCACGGTATGCTGGCCTTGCTCCAGGCGGGAGGTTGTGCGTAGTTTACTTTATACTCCTGCAAACGCTGATAAGTCACGCTATCCAGTAAAGCCGGTGGATGATTTTCATCCATGTTTTGAAAAGCGACAATCTATCGAAAATGCTTACATTCGTTGGACCGGAAAACAAGTAGTGCTCCTTTAAGTAGGTTTGTTGACTATATCTACCCAAATTTTCTTTTTACTGGTACATGTTTGCGCAAGTATTGACAAGCTTGTAGTTAGTGCAAAAGTCATGCCGATCTCCGTGGTACCCCAAATTTCTCTGGAGACATAGTTGTGACGACCGTTTCGAATTCTTGAGCATCGAGCACCAAGGTTAGCAACCAAACCGGCAAATCTCCGAACGAATGGCTACGCAAATGTACTGTACTATAAAATTGAAAGTAGTTACACAGAATACAAAATTACAAACCTCAACGGTTTCCGACAAAAGGTGAGGTACTCCAAAAGGCAAGCAAATCCAATATGGATCAACAGTCAACGCGTGACAGAAACCGCGTCTCAAACTCATGAATTAAAGCAATATATAGCTACCCAAGGATTTGGTACAAAAATAGTATAACCAGAGCGGTAAAAGCGATTTTGCGCGGTAAGGAAAACGGAGAATACAGATGTCTTGTGAAACTGAAATACGGTACGGTTCCACCAGTCCAAAAGAGGGTGGTCCATTTGAACTGTTAACCGGGAAGGTAGTCATTCAAGATTGAAGGCAATTTTAAATATATATGAAGTTGCAAAACCGCCGGCCAAAATTCCTCCGACGGTCGGTAAGCAAACAGGTGAGTTATAAGGAGAGCTCTAGCCTACAAGCATGCAACGTTAACCACCTCCCTGAATGGTCCGAGTCCACTTCTGTTACAAAGGCCAGTTTCAACGGTACACGCGCCTGCTCACGATATCACGCTGAACTAAAGCCCGGCTGTTCTAATACGTCTATCAGGAAGAATCCATAAACCTGCATACCCCCTCGTTAGTCCTCCCCTTCCAGCAAACATAGGCTCCTAACATCGCGCTTGATGACACCGGAGCTAGTTCGGAGGGAAACCGTTCTGCCGAAGCCGTCTGCATCCGTTTGGCATTCGGTGACAATACTCAGTGGCCACCTTCTTCTAGAGAGATGTTTGGACACTACCACAACGACGTCACCCTCCCTGAGGTTTCTGTTCCGACTTGACCACTTATGGCGTAACTGAAGCGTTGGAATATATTCTTTCATCCACCTGTTCCAGAAAACTTCCTCCAAATAATTTACTTGTTTCCAACGTCGAAAGAGCCGCTCTTTCAAATCGCAGTGCGGTGGAATACCTGTGTTCGCTTTGTGTAGCAAGAGGTGATTCCGAGTCAGAGCCAATGCATCACGGCAATCTGCACTCAAAGATGCTAAAGGCCGATCATTCAGAATACGTTCCACCTCAAGAAAAAAGTCTGACAGACAATCATCAGGTAGAGTTTGCTCTTGGATGAGCACAAAAACGACCTGTCGTAGTGATCGTATCATTCGCTCCCACACTTCTCCTCGATGGCTGGCAATCGGGGGGTTAAAATGCCACTGAATACCTCGAACCAATATTCGGTTGTTGATTTTCGCTTGGTCCCAAAGCGATACGTGCTAACTGAGTTCCTTAACTGCACAAACGAAGTTGGATCCGTTATCGCTGTACATATCCAAAGGTCTCCCTCTTCGACTAACGAACCTCATGAACGTCAAAGAATGCGCCACTTCGAAGTGAATCGCTCGGGTAGCCATGCATGAAAAGATGCGGCCGTATCTCTTTTTCATGCTGCGACCACGCTTCACCAGAAGTGGTCCAAAGTAATCAACACCCACAGCCTCGAAACATTTTTTACCCTTTTCAGATCGCACCGCGGGTAACGGAGACATCATCTGCTGACATATATTCCCTGATCGCTTTCTGCATTGGGTACACTTATAGAGGATGCACTTCACCGCCTGACTCCCATGAATGCACATAACGCCAAGTACATGAGGGGCGCCGGAATGCCCTTCTGCCTCATTATAGTGCCGAAAAAGTACATCAGTGACCGGGTGTTTATTGGGTAAGATAGGCGGGTGCTTCAGGGATAATGCGTAACTGGAATAGTGGAGCCGCCCGCCAACGCAGAGAACACCGTCCAGAAGGATGGGACACAGCTTACGCAGGGCTGAAACCATAGTTGGCTCCGACTGAGTGTCCGCTTTTAAACGAGTTAACTCATCACTGTATACTTCCGCTTGAACCTGACGGGTAACGACCACCCGAGATTTGGTCAATTCTTGCACTTGTAGGTGACCTACAAACAGCATGACGCCAGACCTTCCAAATTTGTGCATGATGTAGTGAATGAAGCGCCTCAACCATGCAACTGATTTCGACAACGCAAACTAGCTAGACTATCGGGCAATCAAACGCCCGGAAACACTTCGAGTGGAAATAACGTTAATAGTTGCTCGGCTCGCTTTCAGCCCCACTGACGACAGTCAGCTGGCGGCGACTCCCACACGGTTACCTGGACCCAGTGGCCCAAGAATAACCCAACCCAGCGGTGTCTTCATGGCAAATGGCTCTTTTTGACCTCCCAAACGGTGATCTAGCACCCAGTGAGCTTCTGGAATGTCAAAGCCAATCAATATGCCAACCGATTCAGAAGGAATATCCTCATAGGGCAGTTCTTCCAGGTGAGCCCTGCGACTTGCAATTTCCGAGCGTGAATCGACGACTAATGATGGGAGGATTTCAGATAGTACTGAAGCACATTTCACCAAAGCAACCACATCACCGTGGAGTGGACACACCTCGAAACTTCCACATTCTCCAACTGTTAAACAAGGTCCACTGATTGTCTGCATTTCACGCGGCGTTCGATGACTCGCTATGCCCAGTTGGTGTAGCAAGTTATGACATAATATGGTGGTATCGGACCCACTGTCTAACAAAGCATACGTTATCAGTTCTGCCGAAGGACCTCTCAGAAGAACTTGAAGTAGTCATAGGGAAACAGCCGCCTTGCGGTCAATCATTGAATTGCTTCTGACTACAAGAACTAACTCTGCTTTTTTATCTAGCGGTTTTGAATGTATCAGAGCGTGATGTTTGGCTTGGCATACATCTACCCCACATCGATACTGCAGTTGGCAGTCCTTTGCTTTGTGGCCGCCTTCAAGACACCGAAGAAAGGAATTGAGAGACTTTATGTTGGACCATCTTTCCACTGGCTCAAAAGAAAAGAAGCGCTCGCAGTCGCTGACACGGTGTGTACCACCACAAACCTTACAACCGATCTCGCTCAACAGTGGGGCCTGATCTGAGCAAACGATCGCATGATTCCAAGTGGTTCTGCTGTTGCGTACATCTGTAACAGCTGGGCCACGTACACCTTGGTCCCTATGCGTAACGGATTCTGCCAGAAGGCCGTAACGACTGCTTAACACTCCCGCCCTTTGAGTAAGGAATTTAGTGAGGTCGGTGAAGGCTGGCTCTCCCCGATCATAAACGAATTCCGCCCACTTGTGTTGTAAAGTGTTGGGCAAGCACCTCACTAACCTATCCAAATTCTCCAGGGAACTCAGTTCTGCTCTGTAGTTCATCTGAGTCAGAGCTATTTCGCAACTCTGCGTCTTGAAGGCCAACTGACTCAAATCTCTTGCCTTACACGAGGCAGAACGAAAACATTTAATGGGATCATCTATCAGGGCCCTAGCAACCTCATGAGACCTTCCGAAAGACTCGTGCAGAATTCGGCGGGCTCGTTCATATCCTTCCGCAGGCTGAAGCATGAGGTATTCTTCGATAGCCTCCCTGGCTACACCGGAGCACGCCTTTACCAATTGTACTAGCCTTTTCCCTCGTCTTGGGTCTTGCTTTCGACGTAAAGCTCGAATTGACACATAAACCTCCAATAGCCCCGTTTTGACCATCAAGGTGCATGAGGCCGATCTTGGGTAACTCCAGGCCCTCTATAGTGGATTTTGGATGACGGAGTTCACCAAATCCATTATGCTGTCGTTCTCATACTCCGAGACTATGTCGATTTTCAGAGTTGAATGGCGTCACCATCTTTCTGCGATCTTCAACATAGCTTTTGATGCGAGTTTTTGAGGACTCTAAAAACCATGACCGGTGGCACTGCTCTAAGCAGTCTTCGCTTCCAGCCAACGAAGCTTCGAACTAGGCCAACTCCATCTCGGCTTTAGCCTTCAGTAGTTGTTTTTTATGGTTAGTTTTCATTGCCTCTGGCTCAAGCTCGAGTTCCTCTTTAAGTTGGCTCTCGTTCTGTCTCTCTTTCCTTCTCTGTGTGCGGTCCAGAAGACAGAAAAGACTTTATATATTGCTCGGGGCATGTTACGACCGTTTCGAATTCTTGAGCATCGAGCACCAAGGTTAGCAACCAAACCGGCAAATCTCCGAACGAATGGCTACGCAAATGTACTGTACTATAAAATTGAAAGTAGTTACACAGAATACAAAATTACAAACCTCAACGGTTTCCGACAAAAGGTGAGGTACTCCAAAAGGCAAGCAAATCCAATATGGATCAACAGTCAACGCGTGACAGAAACCGCGTCTCAAACTCATGAATTAAAGCAATATATAGCTACCCAAGGATTTGGTACAAAAATAGTATAACCAGAGCGGTAAAAGCGATTTTGCGCGGTAAGGAAAACGGAGAATACAGATGTCTTGTGAAACTGAAATACGGTACGGTTCCACCAGTCCAAAAGAGGGTGGTCCATTTGAACTGTTAACCGGGAAGGTAGTCATTCAAGATTGGAGGCAATTTTAAATATATATGAATCGCAACAATAGGTTCAACGAAGAACACTTTAAGATAAAGATTTATCATTTGATACCATTCCGTCAAAAACATACAAACTCCTAGTTCAGCTGCGGTAACCTCGAAAACTGTTCAAAACCACTCAAGTTACATCATAGGCAAGAAGCTCATATGTGAAATAGTTGCCATGGTCCAGCACGATTTGCCCGTAGATGTGGACAGTCATTCTTTGGAAAAGTGAATCCTACGCCTTTTACTTTTTCGACAGATGCATAGAAGGAGTTCATTACCAAAATTTTGTTTGTTTGCACAAACCCATTAAAAGCGGTTTCGGAACCTTCGTACAAAAACACTTTTCACGAATGTGGCCGGCATCTCGCTAAGTAAAACCAACACCGCAGAATTCTTCGCAGTTAGTAGGCTTGCTACGATTTTAAATGACCAACAGCGTGAGTGCCCGGCGATATTCTGTTTTGCTGGAAATCCCTTCTTGGTGATCATTTCCTGCCACCTGGAGGACGATGACCCGTTTTATCTGATCACTTTAGAAACTCACCAGGGGCTGCTACTCTCATCCTTTTTTCTCGCAATTCCCACTTCTTTTCAGGCTTCAACCTTTTAATGTGTTTGCTACAAACGTTCTACATAGTCGTGATTCAGTCAATCTGGCCGGTCTCCAGTCCACACACATTTGGCCCTCCAAAAATCTCTACACCGCCTTAGCTTAATCCGGGGCAAATCCTTCATCTAACCCAAATCCAGCTGCCATTAAAATACGTTTCCCTTCCCCGATTGCATTGACGCATGTCACCGTCATACACAGTCTAATGGCACGCCAGCGACTATCTGCCTTCTTCCCTCGACCGTCATTCGTCGCCCGCTTGCGCCTGTAATTGCAACTACGAACAAATATTTTACTCGGCCCCAACATTTTCTGGGACAATTTCGCCACAACACCGAAAATTTCGTTTGGATTTAGCCAACCTGGTCTTCCGCTGCAACTTCAGTTTTTCGCTTTTCCAAATTCCATTTCCTTTACAGTGTTCGTTTAAACCTACGCATCGGCACTATCTCACCATTTAGACTGCCCTTTAAAATTAACGTTCCTACAATAGCGATAGTAGTGGGTCTACTTAATTTTAATGTAAACACATTTTAGAGGACAAAATGTGCCATTTGTCTCCTCGTCAAATATACCAATTCACTTCACTATTTTTGCTTTCTCTGAACTTGGATACCTGTCAAACCATTCGGGATCACTCTGCCAGCAGTAATTTTCGCTTTTGGTTAACGTTAACTGGGTTCATCATTGAGCTACTCGTACCTCATGACCATTTTCCATGTTCTTTGTTTCTCGCAATCGCGCTGACTTTTCACGTGATAAGGATGTGTTGCTGGTTGTACCTTTTCCCTTTTTTGCCTGGCGCGTTCAAATTGTAACGACCAGATAATTCCTGAATTAGCATCCTACCCGCAAGTTGGAAAATAAACTTATTAGTATTATCAATTTTTTTCATACTCATATTCAACCTGCACTTAGGAGGTCCAGTTTGTTTTTTAAAGTACGGGATTCCGTTGTTTGAGCTTTGGCAACATTTCAGAACAATTAGGGAGGGTGCTTACTATCAAGAGCATTTGAAACTTGCGTCATATTGCCAAACCCCTCTCGATTGGGTCGATGCTCATGTTTTTTATTATATAGATGCCAAGTTGTCAGTTCTATCAAAACCTTGGGACTGTGGCCACGAACTTTCAGTAGAATCCAATGGCAGTAGCTTCACACACGTATATTTTTCTCATACGAAGCAAAAAGCTTTATTTCGACGTTTTTCGTACGCCGTATACGTCACCGCTACCCGCAACATCAAACCACTTGCCCATATTCTTTTTGGGCCCCTGAATCCTATCATGCAGTCACAAGCTGTATACGTTACTTGTAGCTGATGGCATCACGATCGGGCGAGTAATAACGTATGCCTTTGTCACAAGTGAGAATTTTGTGACGGGTTTCAGGCGGTTTAGGTTGTTCATTGATATGGTGATTGGGCAATGCCCCCTCAAAGTGTTTTTCAGGGATGAGATGACGTCGCAGATGCTGGTTGTTGAGTCTGCTTTTGGCTACGGCACAATCCTCCGTTATTTTAACTCAAGGCGTGTCATCCGGAAGCACGAACTTTCCACCACCAATCGACGGGCGTAAATCTCAATTACTCCCCACAGTGCCCGGATTGGATTGTTTTACTGGATCACCGGCAATCGTCCTCTTTTCCACTAGTTCGTTTTGTGCATTGGGAATGCGTGATGTCACGTTTTAGCCGTTTAGTTTGGTGATGCACACTTAGAGGAGCGAAGAGTCCCCTTCTCTGGTTCAGCAATAACATATGACTACATAATGTAAAGTGGCACAGTGGAATATGCCTCTTTTGTTACGAGGACATTCGCCTAATTAGACGGGAGATTTAAACACTTAAACGGGCTTGTTCATACTGCCTCGCAAAACACACAGGAATAACGAAAAACGTGCCAGGCTGTACACTTCGACTCCATATTCACATCATCCAACGTCTTACATAATTGGGAGCGATCTCATAAAGGAATTCTTTTAAAGTCCTGTGTAGCAAACCTGCTATCAATAGACGGATGTGTGAACGAACTAGACGGAAAACTGCAACTGATATCACTCTCAATTACTCTCAGGTTTTAGACCCTGTACAAAGCGAATTCTGGTTATTCAAATGAACTACGTCCGACGCCTACGTTTCCCAGTAGACATGTCACCGCTGCACTACCGGTGGCGCCACCGGTGGCAAATAGGGGTGGCATGTTACTCTTGCCACTGATGGCGCCGCCCGTGGCGAAAAGCGGCCAAAGGTGGCGACCCAAAAATGTCATGATGTATTTAATCGGTGGTGTATTCAAACAAATCGGTTTCAAAAATTACTTCATAAATAGAGCTCCAGTATCCAGAGTATCCTGTTACAATCACGCCACCTTTGGCCACCGTTAGCCACCGGTGGCACTGTGTTTACTGGGTTTCCTCGTAAAATGACTCCATAGAGTCATTTCACTATATATATATATATATATATATATATATATAGTGATATCGAGTGAGTAGAACAAAAACACTTTATCCCAAGGACTCTGCTGGATGCACAGAACACTTGGGAAGCGCTCATACTCCTCACAATCACGACCACCTACAATCATACCCAGGTGCAGTCTCCAGTCGGCCACTTAGAGTCTATTCACCGTTCAGTGGGGAGAAACACCATGTATTCTCTTCGATGACTGAACCACCGAAGATTTCTTTTGGTTCCACAAGCGCCTTAGCAAGCAAACCGTAAAGGAGATCTGTGGATAATCGAATAACAGGACCTATGGAACAGGGTTCGTCTCGAAAGGGCAAATGTTTAAATCTAATAAAAACGCAAGGCTTTACCAACCCAAGTTTCTCCGGATATGGCAAACTGCATAGCCTACACCATGCTACCATGGTAGCACGGATCTCTAGACCCCCTAGCTGATGGAATTCCACAAGGCTTGGATATCAAGATGGTTCGAAGGACTTCATTTACCAAAAGTGTAGCGTTCATTGACCTATAGTCTTTAGGATTGCAGGTGGTGACCTCTACTTGCCAACCAAATACTGGCGATCAAAGATCACGCATGCCTCTAGTTGCCTAGCCTCTTGTAGTGTCTGTAATTTTGTGATTTTGTATTGGTTACTTTCCTTCTTAGTTTCTCCGAACACGCTGATAAGGTCCTAGTCCGCTACACTCTCTAGCACTGCCAATTTTAGGGCACATAACCAAAACCCTGCCTGCAGTAAATTAGCCTGGATTAAGGCCACTATTTCCACGTTTGTTACCTGTGTTATTCCATACAAATGCACATCGTTTTCCTATACTCTGCACTAAATCGTGGTGAAATTTTTTCCGTTTTTGCTTCTACGACACGGGCTTAGCAACGATAAGTGAGATGGTAAGGTTCCACTATGGGCCTTAGGGACTCTTCACATATGCTTCGGACACTTTTTTCGTGGAGTGTCGCAGAATGAAGAGTACCCTCCAAGTTCCGGAATAGAGAGCTTTGTTGTGTTTTTTCACCCTTGGAGGCGCATTACCTGCTCGTTTGAGCCACGGACCATTTATTTACAGATGTTTCTTGTCACCGGTGGTGATGTGAGGCAAAAGACATGCGACCCGCTGATATTACCGTTGTCAACAGCCCGTTGAACGATGACGTTCAGATGTCTACCGCGTGATACCGTGGTCGAGCCTAAACGGTGCCCATTATGCTGGTAGCGGTCACCCAAATGCCGGCTTTAAATCTCGCATCCGTCCGAAGTAACCAAACAAGAGCATATACAGCGGGGCGTTGTTTTATATTCAACGCAACCAACCCGGCAACCTTGTCGATGGCTACAGAGTGAGCTGGCGAATAGGCACAAACAATAAGTCTTTATTATGCAAATCGCCATTACCGAGACCTCTAGAAAAGCCTGTTCCATCCATTTCATCGGACTGCTCAATTACACCCTCTCTTTCAGCTGTCTGAGTAATTGTCCCTGCGGTGCAACAGCTCCGGAAAACTGCATCTTCAGTTTAATATGAATGTGCAGAACAAACCTACTTCTAGACTGTTGCAGCAATTGTA